GTCCTGATACGTAAAGCCATAGAACTCAAAGAGGGTGTACTTTCTTTTTCACACGACTGTAAGCTTTTCAAACTCACACAACAATATTGGAAATTCTGCAGGCCTTATATTTAGACAAGGATATAGTGACAGAATTCAGTGAAGAGTATCAAGGCCTTTATTAATTTTTTTCCAAGACAAGCAGACACTACAGTAACTACAACTGGACTAAAGTAAAAGAAGATGGACAGATATTCTGAAGGCTAGTCCCAAAAAGATGGTAGCTAGGCAAATACAGCATTAGTCATTTTTATGCAACCCTTCCCCAGTTCCATTGTAATGTTGGGGGGCATTCACAAACATGCTGTCATAATATTTTTATTTTTTATCTCCTCAAGAAAAGATAAAATTAGATTTGTCAAAGCATTGTATGCCTGTGGAAGAGCAGGCTGCTTAGAAAAATTGCAGGTACCTGTGCTGCTTTCTTTCCCTCCCATTGGCGCCTTCTCCCCAGTGTCAGCATGGCAGACTTGCCAGTAAAGCCGCAACCTTGAAACAGGGGAGGAGATGCATGTTTTGGAAGCTCTGAAGCCACCAGCAAAAAGGACTAAAGCAGCTGAACAAAAGAAGGTGTTTTTCCTTCAAAGGGAGTGGATGGTCCAGAGGAAAAAGAAGTACAGAGGCACAGCAAGGCAAAGCACAATGTGGAAAGGTGCAAGTACCCTGCATGCTGGCCAGTAACAGAGAAGCAAAAAGCAGAAGAATTCCAGGACAGAGGAATTAAGGCGGAAGGCAGAACAGGATTTGCTATATAATAGTAATACTATACAGTGTCGTATAATATTAGTAAAGAGGAAATATTGTAATCATAAGAGAATAGTTATACAGTAGAGTATAGAGGAAATATTGTAGTAGTAAGTGAATAGTAATACAGTATAATAATTGTTATAGTAATAGTAATTAGCAGAGTAATATAGAAATAATAGCAATAGACTAGAGTATAGGATAGAGGAAATATAAAGCACTCGCATTTAGATTTGTAAGTTTCACATGTCAGTTTTATATTTTGGATTTTTTTTTCTTTTCTCAAAATAAAACATCTCCCCAACCCTTATAGGGAGATATAAAAACTGCCTAACCAGGGTCTAGTGCTTTTGTGGCTCTTTAGAGTCTGGGTCAATCTAACTGAGTACAGTTAAAAAAGAACCTGTGACAATGCCAGTCATTATTTTTCTCAGAAAAACATTATGTGAGGTGCAAAATGCTTATGAAATAAACTTTTTAAATAGTGAGGAACTGATAATGGTTTTTTAATGTTTGTAATGGCAAATGAACATCACACCATGAGAAACAATCACGAGAATAATAATACCAGTAATGTTGTTTCCAATTTTACAGGGTATTGGCATGCTATTTAAAATAATTTTGTACTAGGTATGACTGAATTTTGTGAAAATGCATGATTCTGTACACAGCAGTACTTCCATAATATCTGTGTGTGTATGCACACGTAGGCATGTGCTTCAAAGTTGAGTCCATTCTGTATTGTCAATAAGAAAATATTTAAATATGGGTTGCATCCGTACAGTAATCCTCTGACATAATGAGACTATTTTGTCAGAAGTACTTTGTTGGGAGGATTCCATTAGTAGAAAGACAATATCTGAATCCAACTCTATGTTGTATCTTATTGTAGCTTATTGAAATGGAATTCATCTGTGTGGCAACTTTGTTTTCTATCAAATGTGTAAATACGATATCAGTTATTTTTGCATAGTGATAATCTTGGAAAGTGTAATAATGAAAACAAATGGAGTGCCATACATTGTAATCTTAATCCTTTTGGGCAACTTTATGAGGGAATTAGGGTGGGGCAAAAATGTCCCTTTATCCCTATCAGTCTATAGGCTCCCAGAAAGCTGTATGGGCATATATGAACAGCAGTATATCCTGAAAATCATCCAGAAGGATCTAAAAGTTAGGGTATATCTTCAGGTTTGAGTTCATCAGTGATTCCAGATTGCTTACAGACAGAGCAATCTTAAGTCAGTTATGAGGCTTGTTGGCAGTACTAACCTCTGTAAGGTGGAAGGCACATTTGATTGCCACCCCACGTGGATCTAAATAGTTTCCTACAGGAAATCATTCAGGTTTCTTGGGGATTTTCTCATTGAACTGGCAAGTAGTTTATCCACATACTTGGTCAGTCTCTGGAACTCAGAGCTTCTCCCTGCCTGTCAGCCCCAGGAAATTCCTTCATTCACTAAGGAGCTCTGTAATATAAAAGAATGGAAGAGAAACCTGGAGCTTCAATGGTGGGAAACAAGTAGTGACTAAGCCTGAACACAAATACAGATTAAGGTTTGGATACAGTACGGCAATAAGGGCAGTGAAGAAACAATACTTCTCTGCACTTCTTGCATTGTGAAATATCATCTAGCACCTCTCTTCAATGTGATATGCACCCTGTTGAGAGTGGGCAAGCATCAAGATATCACTACAAGCCACTGTGACTTTTTCCTACATAGTTTGCTGACATTTGCTCGGATACCCTGTGGGCAGAATTGGGTGAGATGACCTAGGTGATGTCTTGCAAGGTCATCTAAATTTTTTTTTTTTTTTTGAGTATGTAGCCTCCCAGAAAATGGACATTGTTCCCTGCAGGATGAGCTCTGCCACTTGCACATCCTTGTTACCTGCAGGACTATTTCCTCCACATAGAATCTCAAATGTGCAAGCTGAGCTGAAGAATCTCACCCCCCTGTGTGAAGTTAGAAGGAAGGGGTCTGAAAACATGTTTCCTCAATAGCCATCCTAGCTGTATGGAGGAGCTTGTCCCTCGAAGTCAGATTGGTCCCCTTCCCTTTAATCTTCCAGAAATCAGTTAAGACACTGCTCTTCCACTGAGCTTTGGGGGCATAGGAAGCAATACATTGGGGCTGTCAGCTCATGCTTGGATTTTAGTTTTAATTTTATTGCTTTTTTGTGCACTGTTTTAATTGATAGTTAACTCATTTATGTAATTGTAAGCCATTCAGAGAGTTTACCAATTTTAGTAAATAAATAAATGAGTGGAATAAAAGTGAAGTAACCAATGATTCTACCCCCACCTTCACCCCATCATCTATTAATAATAGAGTAATGCTACCTCTGAAAATGAACTTTCATAGCTATAAGCCTCTTACAGCTATATATCTCTTATCACCCATACAGCTTTTTCAGTCTTGAGCTTGTTTCAAATAATTGCACTGGGTCAGGTTTAATTAATTCTAATTAATACATACAATATGACATTCAGTGCTCTTCCCATTTATTTTTTCTTATAATGCTGGTTCACAGTTCCTGCTGTCTCATTTCTAAGAGTATTAATAGCACCCTCAAGACTAACATATTAAACTGGCTACAGATTTTCTCCTTTTTACATAGAATTATGGCTATATGCAACAGCAAAATATAAATTGATGCTAGCCAAACATGTCTTTCATACATAGATTCACTCATATCTATGTGAAATATATGTGTTATTTCTTCATGTTCTCTTTAACACATAACTGAATAACACAAGCTAAGCTTTAGAAACAGACTTTAAAATTTTTGCAGATTTGGCAGATGTGGAATCTGCTGGCCAAAGTATTCCCATATATTATGCTAAAGGAAAGTAGCCAAATAATGCTTTTCTCTGACACACACAGTTGCTACTATCTTCTTAGTA